AACTTGGTCTTCTTCCTAATATATATATATATATATATATATATATATATATATATATATATATGTTATACTTATATAACATAATATAAATATTATTATTATTATTATTAGAGAGAGAGAGAGAGAGAGAGAGAGAGAGAGAAAAGTAAGTTAGATAAAACATGTGACTTGTGTGACTTGTTAGTTGGGTAAAGTTTATTTATTTATTTAGAATTAAATTTGCCATTAAGAAATGAACACATGTGGGTTGGGCTATAACAACACATATATATATTTGATAAGTTATAGACTCTTTCCAGCCTATATATCTGTGCGTGTGTATGTGTGCGTGTGTGTGTGTGGTATGTTTTTGTTGTGTGCGTGTGTGAGTGATGTATGTTTAATTATTGTCATTGGTTAGATGAAACAAAATAAATACACACATTTATTTATCAATGAATATATACATATATATTTATTCAAATTATATATATATATATTTATTCAAATTATATATATATATATATATATATATATATATAAATATATATAATGAATATCAGATCAAAGTATTTTATTTTATTGAATTATAGATGATGAGATTTAGAAACTATAAATAAATCAAATAATAGTGAATAAATAATAGCCAATAGTGAATGGTTCATGATTAATTTATTTAGCAAGGTAATCTATAAACTTGTAAAACTTTTACAAGCCAATTTTATAGATTACCTTGATTTAATAAATAAAAAACAGCACAAATAATGTGTAAATATTCCTTGGTGTGTATAGTATTAAATATATTATTTCTTTTTCTTGCTCTTGACTTTTCCTCTTTCGATTATACTATTCTCTTGAGGCTTCTAGATCTTTCTTTTAATATTATTGATTCTTGTCTATCTTGGTTTTCTTCTTATCTCTGTAATCGTTTTTCTTCTGTTGTTCTCAATAATTCTACTTCTAACTCCTCTACCCTAACTTTTGGGGTACCCCAGGGTTCTAAAACTCTTGATGTTTATCACAAGTTTCATAGTCTAGGGCCTAGGCTTTATCTTTGATTCTAGTATGTTTCTTTCTTCTCAGATTAATTAGTGTCAGATTATCATTATGTTGTATGTATTAAATATAACATATTTAACTTTTAACATATAAAAATTTAAATCTTTAAAAATAAGAAATGAATAAATTAAATAAAACTAAATTATTAAATTATTTAAAATTAACTTGAACATTATTAAAATTTTAAGAAAAATTTGAAAATTTTACAAATTAAAACGTAAAAAAAATCCATCACTACTTACATGAACTAACTTAAACGATAAATTAATTTAAATCATTAATTTTTTAGTTAAATAATTGAAAATTAATTTAAAAACTAATTTAACCGACCAAATTAAATTCTAGGTTATCTAAATCATAAATGCCAGCCAGAGCCAGTAAGTTCGAATTTTAAAAACAAAAGCGAACTTAACTCAAACGCACTGGGACAACGCACGTTTTTAATTAAATTGTATAGCGCCTCATTTAAAATAAATATTTTGACAATAAATATTACGTATATTGAATTGAATTGAATTGAATTGAATTGAATTGAAATGAATTTTATTTGGCAAAAAAGCACAGGAGATCAAGATACCAACGTATGTGCTGACCACCTTAACTAAAATTGTGTCTCTATAGATAAGATGTAGTGATAAACAAAAATATTTGAAAATGAACAGTTGCAAACAAAAAATGAATAGAATATTTCATTAAAATTAAATGAACTGAGGGTTTTATAAAAGTAGTTAAATAAGCAAAAATAATTATCTCTGTTACATGAGTACGTTAAGCCACAAAAATAGAAAATAATAATATAAGATGATATATTAGTTAAGTAAAGATAACAAACAATCAACTAACAACGAAATGATTAGATGAGATGAGCTGACATATCGAGGTTTTGAAAAGACTGAGTGAAGGAGAAGCCTTTATATTGACAGGTAGAGTATCCCAGAAGCGCACTGAAGAAGATAGGGTAGAATTGAGAAAAAAGTTTGTTCGAGGTTTAAAAGAACGAAAATCGGGAGTATAACGTAAACATTCACGTCCAGTGTTTTTGAACAAAATAAGTTCATTGTATAATGGTAGACAATAATATAATTTGTATATTTTAAAAAAGGAAATTAACAGATATTTGACATATAAGTGATTTATGTTGCAGATGTTTGATAAATGATAATAGGGGGTTACATGATCAAATTTATACAAATCAAATAGAATACGAATGAAGAAATTTTGAGCCAAGGTTAAAATATGAAGATTAGATTTAGGGGCAGAACCCCAGACGGAGATGCAATATGTCAAATATGGCAGAACGAAAGAGTTATATAAGGTTAGCAGGATAAACTTAGGAAATTTAAATCTAAGGCGATAAATAAGCCCTAAATTCTTAGATAATTTGCATGAAATGTGCTTAATATGAGCTAACCATGATAAATTAGAAGAAATGATAACACCTAAAAATTTGGTAGAGTCTACTCTCTTAACTGTTTGTTCATTGAGCAAAACAATAGGGAAAACAATATCGGTTCTAATCTTTGGACCAAACAAAACAAAACATGTTTTATCCAGGTTAAAACGCAGGTTATTAGAAACAACCCAATTATAAATAAGCTTCAATTCATTATTAATAACGGAGACTAAAAAATTGAGGTCAGAATGAGAGTATAATAGAGTAGTATCATCAGCAAACAGAATGAATTTTAGAATACTTGATGAGTTGATAAAGTCATTAATAAAGATATTAAAGAGCAATGGACCAAGGATTGAACCTTGAGGAACACCGGAATTAATTGGCGATAATGAGGACTTAGAATCATTAATAGACACATATTGGGAACGGTCGTGTAAATAAGAACAAAACCAATCAT